CGAGGTAAGACTGCAGAACAGTAACTTCTTCTTCATTTGCTGGAGGTTGTTTGTTAGACTCTGAATCAGAGGCAGAGTGTTGGTCGGACATTATTGAAGGACAAGGTTATTGATTGACTTGGGTTGTTTTGAAAATATTAATCTTACTCAATTTGCGCTTCACTTCGGCTATTAAGCGAGACATGAATTAGAATACAATTGTTGAGCGTCCTAAATTTCACACAAGTTCTCAGTCACCAAATGGGTAAGTCTAGGGTAAGGACATTGGCTCCGTGGGGAACGGTGCACTGGGTGACATGGACAACGAAGGAGACCACTCGTGGCTTGAAAGGGAAGTGGTGCCCAGTCAAACGCAGTCAGTCAAGCCCATCCGTGCAATCATCTCCAGCAAAGTCTCCCAGAAAACACAATTCTGATTGCGCATGGGATCAATCGTCAACCGATTTCAATGCTGGCTATGAGGACTTTGGGAATAAGGAGCCAATTGGTGCCCTCAACTTACCGTCAGGGAGAAAGAAGACAAAGGTGCGCTACCATGTTTATGCCATGCGTTTTGCTCTGACCCATGCCCTAGAGCCCAAATGATTATCTCCGGGAATGGAAATTTCAGACGGATGATTACCTCCGGATCCTCCATGAAAGAGAGGCTCCAACAGCGGACAAATCATGCTGCGTGTGCAGGGCTGAGTCAACCGTGTATAGGTGCCACGACTGTCTCGGCGACCCGTTATTTTGTTTGAAGTGCTGCAGAGATGAGCACCGGAGACTGCCCTTCCATAAGATTGGGAAATAGAATGGGGGATTTTTTGAGGAAACGTCTCTGACTAAGATACAGTGGCTCAAAAAAGTGTCCCAATGTTTGTAGGTTTTCATGTAATTGTGTTATTGCGAGCCAGGGTGTGAGAATCTGACTAAGTCAAAGGGAGGTCCCAAAAAGCTCCGCTTCTCGGTTACAATTATGTCCCCTATAGCGTGAGAATCCATTGACGCCGTGCGAAGATATGGCTATTTTAATTAGGTGACTCATTGGGACACTTTTTTGAGTTTTTATTAAAATATGAAAATCAGATCATTTAGACATGACACCATTTACAAATATATATATAAATGGTCCCATATTGACAATATGGTCTCATTTTAATATCCTGTACATATATAAACCCTTCCAATAACATCATGTCCCTCATAATCAGCATGAAGTCTATTTCCTCTTCTCAAAGAGATAATATCCTTTTTCTCTCCACCTCTGGTCTATCTATCAGGCAGATTGCCTCCAAAACTGGTCTGGGGAAGTCAACTATTGCCAGGGTTATAAACCAGAATATTCCCAACAAAGAAAATGTCAAAATGGGTCGTCCTTCTAAACTTACTCTGCATGACAAAAGAGCTCTTGTTCATCATATTATATCTGAAAAGGCCTCTACTGCTGTTCAAGCCACAAAATACATCAATTCCATCATCACTACCACTGTCTCCACTCAAACAGTCAGGAACACCCTCAAGGAAGCCAATCTTAAAGCTGTAGTCAAGAAGAAGAAACCCCTACTGTCACCAGCCCATAGGAAAAGGAGACTAGCATTTGCTTTAAAGCACCAGCACTGGACTATAGAGGACTGGAAGAGAGTTATTTGGTCAGATGGTCAAGAGTATGTTTGGAAAAAGGCAGGAGATCCACTTGGAGAAAAAGAAGTGAAAGGTACTCTTAAGTTTGGAGGAGGAAATATGATGGTGTGGGGCTGCATGGGGTGGCATGGGGTGGGAATTCTATGTGAGGTGGAGGGGAGGATGAATGCAGAGCAGTATGTCTCCATTCTGGAGGAGTGTCTGCTCAAAAGCATGCAAGAATCAGGTATTGATGAAGAAGACATTATCTTCCAACAAGATAATGACCCCAAGCATACCTCAAAGTTGGCCACCAAATGGTTTGAGGACCATGATATTACTGTCCTATCATGGCCAGCACAGTCTCCAGACCTCAATCCCATTGAACATCTTTGGGAATTACTCAAGAGAATGCTTGCTGCCTATCAAGACCCACCTAATGGACTATTTCAGTTATGGGAGAGAGTTGTAGTAGAGTGGGGAAAGATTGCTAAGGAGGAGTGTCAAAAATTGATAGAGAGTATGCCTAGGAGGGTAGCAGCAGTCATTAAAGCTAAGGGAGGAAACACTAAGTACTAGAATTATAGAGATTATGTATAATTGATTCAAACTCAAAAAAGTGTCCCAATGAGTCACCTAATTAAAATAGCCATATCTTCGCACGGCGTCAATGGATTCTCACGCTATAGGGGACATAATTGTAACCGAGAAGCGGAGCTTTTTGGGACCTCCCTTTGACTTAGTCAGATTCTCACACCCTGGCTCGCAATAACACAATTACATGAAAACCTACAAACATTGGGACACTTTTTTGAGCCACTGTAGGTATGGAAATTCATTTGGGGCATCAGGGAAAGCCTTGTCCAATACTTGGTGATATTCACAAATGGGAGGATACCAACGAGCCGATACATCAACCGGAAGAGGACCTCCCTACCATACTCAAACTTCCATTCTTGAACGGCAAGCAATGCATTACTATTGTTGACAAGTCCAGAGTACATTCACTCATGATACGGTTTTGTCAATGTCCAAATGCTTGCACCGCCGACAAGCAATTATTTGAGATGGGCATGTTTCCGGCATCGTTCACCCGACCGAAGACTGCCTTTACCTTTCCGGTGCTGGACGGTTTCGCCTTGGACAACTTGGAATGCGGAACTTCGGCAATGAATTACTACAACAAGTTGAGAAGAATGACGTCAAGTATATTTCCGCATCTAGTCCTGGTACATGTTGCATATAGAAAATCATGGTTATAAATGTTCAATTCCCCACAGGACCTTTACAGAGAATTGATGAGGGTAGCACAGCAATGGCGACAGCTGAAGCTGTTGAAATGGAATGGGTTTGGTTATGAGCGAAGAAGGCTGACATCCGGTGAACTCGCTCTCTTTTGCCCGGCTTGCCCGCAGCCCAGCATCAACTCCCCACTGCCATCCGATAGGAGTGCCGATGATCCCAGTTGGCTATATGCCCGATTGCTGGTTATGGACGGCAACTTCAAAGCAGAACACCTTCATCCCACTCATCCGGAAGACGAAGTCTGGTTGACTGATGGCCAGTGCTTCATGGTTTCCAAAGACCAATATAAGGCTCATCTAGCGGTTGCCAACGACGTTGTTCAACCATCCGAGTGCAACAATCACCGAGCCGTAAACCAGGCCAATGCTTCGCAACACAAACTAGAAGCTACCGGGATAGGCGGTTGCGCATGCGCCCGCCACGGCTGTTTTGTGCCTCATTCCATTGTGGATTTTCAAAAGGGCGAATGGTATGTTTCAGGATTCCACCGATTTGATTCACGAGGTGACGTCCATGATTAGGCAAATGAATATGGACTACGCCCTATGTCACGCATTAAGCCACCACACGGATGGGCTCAGTCAAGCTTTCACATTTTATGACGTTAATTGTCAGTATAACAAGCACTTCCAGCATCGGGTGAGCGAGAGCCTCTATTTGAGCCTCCCTTCTGGTATGGAGATCATACCGGGAATTGGCCTCTGGCATGTTCATGGACACCAAGACAAATGCTATGTTCGGTACGCATCAACATTTATCACCGGGGCCGCTAGGATCGACGGAGAAATCATGGAGACGTTGTGGGCGCCTCTGAATATCATATCTCCTGCTGCGAGAGGGATGTCGACCCCCCATCAGCAAGAGTGTCTTGATTACCAGATGAATGACTTTAATTTTATGAAGATGATTCGTATGAGTTGAGTTATACATCTCCTTGGGGAAGACTTTTTAAAGACATAATGCAGGCGGTTTTCTTTGCCGGAAATATAAGGAAGCTATTAAGGGCATCACAGAAAGTGCCTCTGCTTTTGACAAGCTCAATGACACCACCGATCCTATCATGGTTGCAAAATGGGAGGAACAGGACCGATATGCTCATTCATGTCGAGTCGCCGATCCATCGGCAATGGATGTGTTTGAAGTACAGTTAAAGAGGGGTGAGTTTCTGCTCCCTCAGCATCCGATCCAGAAATCCACTTACATTGATCAGCACCAACTCGGAAGCAACAGGAGCTAGCTTTACTGTCCTCCCGAGTAGGCCGATTGGGTGGGAATCTGCAACGAGGTGCTGCCACATGGATTGCATCTGGCATTACCATAGAAGAGGTTCAGATAGCACTCACTATGGATATTAGGAAGCTCGGCAGACACCCCACAGAGACCCAAACCTTGGATATATGCAGACGTCGGACAAAATTGCAAAGCCGGATAGATGAATTCACTATTGTGGCGGCAATTCATCTCGGCGAGGGCTTTGATGTTGATGATGACATTAGAGATCTCCACTTGGACTTCATAGATGACGATTCAGAAGGTAATGGAATTGATGGCAGTGATACCGAATCTGACCCGGAAGCCGATGGACGTCAGCTGCGGGATTCATTCTACCCAGAGAAGATCGTGATACCTCTGCCATCCAATATTGGCGTAGCACGCTGTGGGGAGCTGGGAGTTGAACACCTCATTGGTCAGGAAATTGCACTTCAGGAAGGTCAGGCCAACGATGCCTTGCAAGCGATCAGAATGCATCTAGCGGATAAGGCTGTGCTCTTTCATACCGCCGTGTGTCCAGCGAAATCACAAGCCAAATCAACAAGGGCATGGACGCAGGTTCATTCGGTCAAACAGGTCATCCGACTCAACACAATGATTTATATGAAATGTCGGGCACAACTCGGAAACCTGGAAGCTCATGGCCTGCTTAATAAGTACCTCCGGATGGAAAAGAGCCATCTCAAAACAACTGCTGCCATGGCGGACCCAAATGCCCGGGGTCAGTGAAATGCAACTCTTCCGTGGTTCTGGTCTCTAGACATACAAGGTGATTTAGTCAGCAGTGATTGGATGAATGAATGTAAGTCCGTTGCAATCCGGGGGTTTCGGGCCAAGGCTCAAGACACAACAGTTTACAGGGTTCATTGGCTTCGCACGAAAGCATTACGCGACCGATGGGTGGAAGAACTCATTCTGGTTGAACATGAAATGGGTTGGACCCTGGAGTTTTTTCTCTTCAAAGCAAGCATGTGGTTAACAAGGCTCACATCAAACAGCGAAGCACTACCGGAGGGACACAAGTGTTATGCGATTCGGCAGGCCCATATGTACCAAGAACTTGCCAAACACGCACAGGCAGGCTTTATAAAGACAAATCCAACCTTCCGGCCAATTTCTTAATATATAGTCGTAAGAAGTCGTTTATAGACCTGATATATCATAGACGGCCCACTTTGTCGCAAAATTGAGCATATTCAATCCTTACTGCATTCGGTGACATTGAGTGTACACTCAGCATTAAAATCGATACCGCTGCAATGTATTTTGCAAACTAACTAGACGCGGATGCCATCCGGTACGATGATTCGTTGGCTAAACGGCAGTCCAGACTGAATGACGCTTGCGCGAATTATCATTGAAGTTTCCCCCCGGAGCGGATGGTGTTTAATGCTTCCTATGCGGTCATTCTGTAATACGTACGAGGTGGTCTGACTGCGTCACAGTTTTCACAAGTTAGCTAAATTACTGTCCATGTTTCACATGTCATACTCGTTGTCTCCGGTGCGAATCTGGTATGTGCGAGTTGTCCCGAGGAAAGCATTGATCAGCACAGCTGTCTTCTGTGACTCCGAGCGAGATGCAATTTGTTTGTTATCTCACCATTTATGCCTACAGCCATAGATGAGTTCAAGGACCAGCTTGACGACACCGAAAAGAAGTAAATACCGAAATGTGCTACTGAGCTCCAGAAGATCGTTGTCCAGGGCCAGGCTGGTGGTGGCGGCACTAAAAGCATCCTGGAGGAGATCAACGAGACCTTACTTGGCCTCGTCCAAAACCTAAGGATGACATGACATGCTCGGATTGCGTCCTCGGAAAGTAGCTCACAGGGAATACAGGATTATGTGCCTCCGTCCAGCTTTCTCCCTTGGTTCTCGTCCCTGCCGCAGCTCTCATAGTCTCTGTTGCGTCTTGATTCCTCATCAGAACATATTCATCCTTTCTGCGCTCATGTCCACAATGAGAGTATCAGAGACCCACTGTTCAGGTATATACTTTAGTGCTGATATGATTCTGATTTTGAAGTAACGTAGGGTCAGACACTTGTGATCAATACAGACTCCGTGGTTTAGTCCAGTTCTCCAGTTCAGGCCGCAATTGCCAGCAGCTAGCTCGTTTTATACATAAATCATATGAGGAGTTATTAGTTACATAGGCTACGTCATGTTCGGCCGTGCTTGTCAATTGCATTCACGACTGCTACTAGAATAATTGCAAGACAGTGAGACAATTGTATAAGCTGGGTGGACGGGGTTTTGACAACAAATAAGCTAAGGCCTGTGGATCCGAGCATAGGGTTTCAGAAGTCTCACATGTGGAAATCTTCAGGAAGATGAGCATAAGAAATTTAATCTGAGCCTGACCAAGATGGGCGGATGCAGGGCAGCAGACAGTCTGGCTCGCTCAAACATGCGGTATCGGATTCTCCGCACATTGATGAATGCATTATGAATATTACATCCGCATGCATAGGACAATAATAGAACCACTCCCGAGTACAATACCATTGCCACTGATCCACATTTCTCTATCCACAAGCCATGAGTCCCCAGCATTACTCACCACCGGATTGATTACATTCCAGACTTGTCGGAATTTCATAGAGTCAACTTCTTATAACTGCCGTATTCACCCTGTTCACTACCTTGTATTCTTTCAAATCAGACATCATGGCCATACCTCCGGATGTCGCAAATGATGCCCTGAATGTCATGCTCGCTGTCGTGCAATCGCTCATGAAGCGCTGCATCAAGGTGAAGGAGGGTGATCCCGAGGCCTTAAGGCTGTCGGACGAGATTGCCAGGCGCGTGGTGAGTGTTTGTTACGTTTTATTCACAATTCTCCTGGTTAATATACGACATTCGACACAGGCAAAAGATTTGAAACTATACAGCGAGAATGCTACATCATTCTCCCCACAGCTACTTTCATTTGCCGCTGTTGTGAGACAGCACTCAAAGGGCGGGGCCTTTGAAAACGTCCCCAACTGGACTTCCATCACCAACGACGACCCTCGGATCAAGAGCCACCCACGATTTGACAAGACCGTGGACTATCGCCCCCCCTCCACATCCAACATTCCCACCATCGCGACATCCACTGATATTCCTGCCACCGTCCCAATACCACCGGCCCTCATTGTCCTGCCATCGACTCCCTCGACCCTGCCATCTATGCCATCCCAGATGGACCTGGATGTCATCACTAAGCCGGTAGCAGAACCGAAACGACGGGTGGGAGGGCGCAAGAACCCGCCCCATGCCGGTCATCTGGCACATCCGCCCCTTAGATACTGACACCTGTATTTTCCCGAAGCTGAGAGGGAACAGTGGAAGGTAAGTTTCCTGGCCGGCGCTAGCAAGAAGAGGAAGGTGGAAGATGAAGGGGCCAACGCGGTTGCCAAAAAGATGAGGAAGTTGAAGTCCAATGTCAAAAAGGAGCCAACCGGAGTCATCCATGTGAAATGAAGGGTATGTTCATTCATCTTTGGTTAGGCATCTAACAGCTTACCGCTCCAGGAATCGTCGCCTGTTGCTACTGACAAGGACGTTCTGCTAGTCAGAGACAAGGATTTCCTGGATGCAGAAACTCGGGTAAGTGATTCTCACTTACGCATGGCACAGACATTGACTCATTTTCAAGCCTGCAGATTGGGGCTCGGATTCTGATGTTGCTACTCCGTGGCAGGTAAGTCTTTTGATGCATTGTTATACATACGGGCTAACAAATTTGAAGCATTCCGTTCGTTACCACCCCCAGCAGTGCGACAAGTGCGCCAAGTTGGACATAGCCTGCCTTGTCCTCCCCAACAAGAAATTCGGGTACACACGCCTCACCTGCACCAATTGCGACAACATGAAGATCGTGTGCATGATCGACGGCATTGGTGTCCGGCAGAGGTTGCAAGGTAAGGCGGCCAAAGCATCCTCTGACACGTCCAAACCCCCCAAGACGTCCAAGTCCCGAGCTGTCTCCAAAACACTTGCGGCGCGTCCTTCACGCTCTCAACGGAGCATTGCTGGTAGCGAAGGTACGTTTTCTCGTGGCCTCGGAACGAGTTGAGCTCATTGGATTCTGTAGGGGCGGAGAAAAAGCCCACAGATGTCCTTCCGGGTCAGGCTCAAATGCAGCCGGAACACGGGCAATCACCTGTGCCCACCAACCTGCTGGAACCAGAGCCCACCGCAAGAGAAATCTTGCAGGGCATCCAGAACCTCGGTAGGAGGTTGGATCTCCTTGCCGCTAATGAGCAGGTAGACGCATTGGAGGTCAGAGTGGGCGCAGTTGAGACCAACCTCTTACCCGAATCCGTGCCCACCCTAGGGGGGGGTAGTTCATAGGTTTCATCTAGGTTTCATGTATTCCAGTGACTGTTTTCATGTCATATGACTGAGTTTCATATGAGTTTCATATAGGTTTCACGTGAGTTTCATATGAGTTTCACTATAGCAGTGATATTTCTTATGTCTTATGACTGACTTTCATATGAGTTTCATCTAGGTTTCATATAGGTTTCATATAGGTTTCACGTGAGTTTCATATGAGTTTCACTATAGCAGTGATATTTCTCATGTCTTATGACTGACTTTCATATGAGTTTCATATAGGTTTCATATAGGTTTCATATGAGTTTCACTATAGCAGTGATATTTCTCATATCTTACGACTGACTTTCATATGAGTTTCATATATGTTTCACATGGGTTTCATATCTAAATTTCACTATAGCAGTCAGATTCATGTCATATACTTTTCATATCATATCACTGAGTCATACAGGTTTCACATAGGTTTTATCAGGGTGTTATATAACATTTTATAAGGGCATTACACATAAGTCATAGGATACAACATGTGCTGTGATTATCAAACCATATGAGTTTCACCACATTTCTCAATGTTATCCTATGGATTTCTCCAGTTTTTGGTTGCAAAATTACCCCCCATTTGTAAGTATCACGGAGTACCTCCTAAGGAGATAGTCAAGGTCAACAAGGGGAGTCACTATTCTCATATATTACTATATTCGTATGGCCATATATGATCAAGTATAAGTGGAGGAGCCACTATTATCATATATCACTATATTTGTATGACCATATATGATCAAGTACAAGTACAAGTACATTGAAGTATTGTTGGGTCAGTGCTACGCCAAACTGCTATACTTGCTAAAGCAAGAATTTTCTATCCTGAGGGTATTGCCACTATGAACAGTTGGGGAATAAAAAGATACTCTCAAGTGCAATGGTTTTTGCAAGTAAAACCAGGTAATGTGAAAGCACAGAAAAAAGGCATGTGTGCAGAACCTTGTACCATTGAATCCACTAGTGTGTAATTGACCTGGACCTGAAGATATGTCAGTTTGGTCGATTCCTCATATTGCACAGAACATGATTTCAATTTCCTTCCCACATATATCAGAGTGAACAATGTCAAGAGGATGTTGTGCATAATGTGAATTGGACTTGTCCCTGTAGCCCTTCCTCAGTTTTATTTTACTCAGGATTTTGTCCTGAATAGCCTTCATACATATTCTTATCAAGAGGACAAAACTCCATTGAAATTTCTGGAAGTTCCTCCAGAACGTTTCTGCACTCCTTTGGAAGTTTCTCACACTCGACCAGAAAGTCCTTCCAAAGTTTCCATGCTCATCTGGAAGTCCTTTGGACTTCATTGGACTTTCTCTGGACTTCATTCTGAAATTAAGGGCACATACTCAGGTAAGGGGCACAGTGCATGAGCTGAAGCCAAGCCTCTCAGAATTAGTCCTATCCTCTGTGCACAGTCTTAACACCTATGATGCAAGGTTTGCATGTGCATAAGGGATGCAATATATCTTTGCAATGCTTATTAGGATGTAGCTGAGGCCAGGAAACTAAAAGAAGTGACCTGTATGACTCAGTCATATGATATTGTGAAACTCATATAAGACTCAATCATATGACATATCACTGCTATAGTAAAACTTGTATGAAACCTATATGAAACTTATATAAGACTCAGTCGTATGACATTAAAAGTATCATTACTATAGTGAAACCCATATAAACTCATGTGAAACCCATATGAAACCCATATGAAACTCAGTCGTATAGCATTAAAAGTATCATTACTATAGTGAACCTCATGTGAAACCCATATGAAACCCATATGAAACTCAGTCATATAGCATTTAAACCACAATGCAAACACTATGGGGTATGCTATGACTTCCTTCGATCCACTTTGTGTGAGTATCATTACTATAGTGAAACTCATGTGAAACCCATATGAAACTCAGTCATATAGCATTAAAAGTATCATTACTATAGTGAAACTCATATGAAACCCATATGAAACTCAGTCATATAGCATTAAAAGTATCATTACTATAGTGAAACTCACGTGAAACCCAGTCATATAGCATTGAAAGTATCATTACTATAGTGAAACTCATATGAAACTCAGTCATATAGCATTGAAAGTATCATTACTATAGTGAAGCTCATGTGAAACTCATATGAAACCCATATGAAACTCAGTCATATAGCATTGAAAGTATCATTACTATAGTGAAACTCATATGAAACTCAGTCATATAGCATTGAAAGTATCATTACTATAGTGAAGCTCATGTGAAACTCATATGAAACCCATATGAAACTCAGTCATATAGCATTGAAAGTATCATTACTATAGTGAAACCCATATGAAACTCAGTCATATAGCATTAAAAATCTCACTGTTATAGTGAAACTCATATGAAACCCATATGAAACTTATATAAGACTCAGTCACATGACATTAATATCTAAGAAGTAAAGTGTGACAGTTTTGGGAGGGGTTGCCAGCTCATGTGGTTTGTGTCATATCCTGCATTCTGGACCCGGACTTATCACACACATCATTTCCGGACATCCGGATCCGGCCGACGTCTATCTATGTTTGGATCCGACCCGTGTCTAACTTCTGTGCCTTATCCCTTTGTACATTCCTACTCCAGTTAGACTATATCATTTTCCATATCTCATTTCATTTCCACCCTTGATTTTCCTCTGATCTAATCTCCAGATTCATTTACTATTTTCCGATAGACTAGTGTTTGACTTTTCTATATGCTCCGTCCACAGCTTTGTATAGCTTCGGACTGTGCTTCTTGGTTCTCTGATAAGTCCTGAGTAGTATATAAACCCTGTAGAATCTATGTACATCCTTAGTTCAAATATTATCTTAGACTCTGCTCATTCCCTCTTCTGTCCGACTTGAGTTATCCTCTCGTCGACCTCCGCTCATCTTAGAGTTGATTCCTATAGACTTGTCATCTCCACCTCTACCTTTGGTAGTCCTCCGCTGTTTCCTTTCTAGTTCAGACTTCATCCGGATTAGTCTTATCTCCTGTTCCTGAACGTCCGCTGGAATTCCCACGCATCGGACATCGCCCAATGCCCTCCGGACATCATCTGGTAACCTTTGGACATTGTTCGACAGCCCTCGGAAGTTAGGGGCACAGCACACGAGCTGAAGCCAAGCCCTTCGGATTTGATCCTTGAGCGCGTTCTTAACAGTATATTTGAACTCACACCTTACTGAGGCACCTATACAGGCACAGAATGTTCTCAACGTGGCGGGTTTAGTAACCACCTGACGGGACTCTACTCCCATAGTCGATGCCTTCCTCAGTTTCTCTCAGTGCCGCGCTAGTGTGCAAGGCGCTGCCTCCAGCATTTCACAACTCATGAACCATCCCCATCCGACTACCCCTACACCTACATCTGCTGGAAATCTTCTGCACAATGATTCCAACAACGAGTATCCTCTGGGTGGTAACCTGCCCGGAGATGGTGGGGGTGATCTGGATGATGATCCTCCGGAAGACCTGGAAGACGATGAAAACAAAGGTCTAGCTCTGCAGGACTTAGTCTTCCTCCAGCTATCCCAAGCTATCAATAACCTGGCGCGTAACAACTGCCAATCCTCCAGATCCGGTGACTCTAAAGTCAAAGTCTGAGAACTGGATACCTTCAACGGCATCTAGTGGATCGTCCAGACTGGATGGATGACTACTCTGAGTTCATGTTAGAACTTCAAACTAACTTCAGACCTCATGACCCAGTCGGAGATGTGGAAATGCAGCTGGAACAGCTCTATATGCGCGATGGACAGTGCATCAACAAGTATGTTGTGGAGTTCCAGCAGCTAGCCTCCCAAGTCCAAGGTTGGGGCAACAGAGCTTTGTGCCATCAGTTCTACAACAGACTTCCGGCTCGCATTAAGGACGAGATCAGTCGTCAAGGAAAATCTACCACCCTTCCAGAATACAAAACTCTTGCCCAGACTATCAACACTCAATACTGGGAATGCAAGAGAGAAGTCTCCCACCAAACCAAACACTCCACATCCACCCCTCCCACTCAGCAGTTGGCTGCTACTTCTAACCAGAAAGAGTACTCCGGCGGAAAATCTGGAAACACTTTGGCTTTCTCCTCTGCCAAACTTCTGGACTTGATGTCCAAGCTCAGAAAACACGGTCAACTAACGTCCGAGGAGCGCCAGAGGCGCATGGAGAAGAAGCTCTGCCTCTTCTGCGGTGGACCCGGTCATACTGCCCAGGACTGCCTAAAATCCACTTCCCATGCGGCCAAGGGTCGTGCCAGCACGTTAACTCTGGAAGCCAAACTGGAGGTCTTGGAAGAGACAAAAAATTAGTCCACAACCCTCTTGACTCCGCGCGGGACTGAGGGTTGCATTGACTCAACCCGTGCAATGGAGCTATGCCTCAATGCTATATCCTTCTCTGATCCGAACTCTTTATTACCCTCCGTTTCTATTTCTAATTTTCCCGATATCTCTTTGTTCCCGGCTCTAGTAAATTGTGGCTCCTCCCATTGTTTTATAGAAAGCAAGCTAATCTGAAAAAAATAACATTCCGACCTATGCAATTCCTCCGCTTCCGCTCCATTTGTTTGATGGTACTTCTAATGCCACGATTACCGAGGCAATAGATTTATCAATCTGTTTTCCGACCAGCGTGGTCACCTCCAAAACATTTTATGTTACTCTGTTGGACTTGTCCTGTTCCATCATTCTAGGATATAGCTGGCTCACCCGACACAATCTGTTGATTGACTGGGTAAAGGGCAGCATCAATTTCCGTCCAATTCCTCATGGAGTGCCTTCACCTCCTCCAACCCCTTTTCTGCCAACTCCGGCGGAAATCCCTTCCGTAACCTCACCAAGTCCCTCCACTGATAACGCCATTCCCAACATTTCCTTAATCAATGCAGTTGCCTTTTGCTGGGCCCATAAATTAGAGGGATCAGTTCAGTTCAGTATTTTCATTCATCCATCCAGTGTCAATCTCCGCTCTGCTACACTCTCCTCCGATCCTCCGAACCTATCCAGAATCCCTTCAGAATATCACGAGTACATGGATGTCTTTGATAAGGGCAAAGCTGGACAGCTCCCTCCCCATCATCCCTATGATCTAAAGATCAATTTGGAAGAAGGAGCGGCTCTGCCACTTGGCACCATCTATTCCCTTTCTCTGGTTGAGCTTGTAGCTCTTCGCAAATTCCTAGATGAGGATATTGCGACCAGACTCCTCCGTTCCTTATCCTCTCCGCACGGAGCCCCTGTCCTATTTGTCAAGAAGAAGGACAGCTCCCTATGCCTCTGTGTAGATTTCTGAGGACTCAATAAAATCACAAAGAAAGATTGCTATCCGCTTCCCCTCATTTCCGACCTTCTCAATTCTCCGAGCCACACTAAAGTTTACACTAAAATCAATCTCCAGTCCGCTTACCATCTAGTCCAGATGGCGGAAGGAAACAAGTGGAAAACTGCTTTCCAAATGCACTATGGCTCGTATGAATGGTTGGTTATGCCCGAGGGTCTTACCAATGCTCCAGTGGCTTTCCAGTGCTTTGTCAACACCATCTTCGCCGATATGCTTGACATTTGTGTTATTGTGTATCTCAACGACATCCTCATCTATTCCGCTGACCTTGCATCTCATAAACAACATGTCCCTGAAGTTCTCTGACGCCTCCGGTGTCTTATATA